GTGTCATGGGACTGGTTTGGGTCAGTTATCCTGTGGATCTGCTCCTCCTGCTGCCCACCTGACTGTCTTGCCACTGTGCACTGCCACCTGGGCCTGACCACAGGACCCAGCCCTCTCTCTAATGCTGCCCCTCACCCTGGCCCTTCCCATCAGCTCCCAGCATCACCCTCCGTGATGGCACGTGTGGACGCAGGAAGGCATGGACTCACCACCAACTGCAGCTTGCTTTGTAAACAGACCTCAACAACTTAACCCTGTAATTTTATATTAATTTGAATGTTCAGAAAACCATTGTCACTTCATACTAAGTGACATAAAATTTGGACATAGAAACTTTGGTTTTTCTCGTACCAAGGATTGTTCCCGTAGGGGTGCTTAACCACTAAACCACATCCCCAGCCCTTTTTTCTATTTTATTTTGAGACAGGGTCTTACTAAGTTGCTTAGGGCCTCACTAAGTTACTGAGGCTGGCTTTGAACTTGTGATCCTCCTGCCTCAGCCTCCCGAGCTGCTGGGATTACAGGTGTGCACCATTGCATCTGACTAAACTTCAAAAAAAATTAATAAAATTCTTCCAAATCCTAACTCCCACAAAGCCCAGTGTTATCGCTGGATATGTAAATTTACAGATTTTGCCAGAAAATATACATACATTTTTTATAGCGATGAGGTAATCCTCCATATCCACTTCTCTGACCTCCTTTTCCATTTCATGCACTCCACCCCACCCCCTCGGCCCATCTCTGGATTCTAGCACGGCATGGTGTCCCGAGTTATCACTGGCCATTCAGCTTTCTACTGGGGGACATTTGAGTTCTAGTAGCTTGATTTGTTCCCACTATAAATAGTTCTGCAGTGAAGCCCTTGTCCGCATTTCTATTCTGACTTTTCCGGTTATTTTGGGATTCATTCTTGATAGGAAACTGCTAGGTCGACAGGATTTTTTGCCCTTCTCTCTCTCTCTCTCTCTCTCTCTCTCTCTCTCTCTCTCTCTCTCTCTCTCTCTCTCTCTCCCACTTGAAAAGAGAGAAGCCCAGATAACTAGGATTTAGAGCCAGCTCTGTGGGAGCCACTCTGGCACACAGAGTGAATGGGTGACTGCACGTGGCAAAAGGGACCGGGATCCTGAGATGGGAGATGACCCCGGGTGGGCCCAGTGTCACCCCAAGGTCCTGCAGGAGGGAGGGGCACCAAAGTCAAAGAAGGCAGTGATATGACGGAGGCATGGATGGGGTGGGAGGGTGCAGGGAGGGGCCCCAGCTGAGGAGCACGGGGGCTCCAGAAGCTGAAATCCGGACCTCCCTAGAGCCTCCAGGAGGAGCTGGCCTCCGCGATACCTTGACGTCAGGACTCGTGACTCTGAGGACTCTAGGACAGCCAATCTGTGTTGTGGTAACCACTACAGATGGGGCGGCAGGTGCTGGGTGGGCTCCGGCACCAGCCTGTAGAGTTCCCGCCTGGCCTTGGCCGCTCGCTGGCTGTGTGACTGGGAGCCATCCACCCGCCATCTCTGTGCCTCAGTTTCCTCGTTTTGTAAAGTGGCGATTTAAAAATACCCATTCCTGGGCTGGGGAGGTGGCTCAAGCGGTAGCGCGCTCACCTGGCCTGCGCGGGGCGCTGGGTTCGATCCTCAACACCACATTAAAATAAAATAAAGATGTTGTGTTCACTGAGAACTGAAAAATAGACATTAGAAAATTCTCTCTCTCTTTAAAAAAAAATGCCCATTTATAAGTTTCTGGTGGGGATGACACGCACTCCCTGGCCGTACCTGGCCCCTAGCATGAGGGCTGCTGGTGCTCAGAGCACCCTGGCCCTGTCCTGCTCCACTGCTCCCTGTCCCTGCCCCTGGCTGAGCCTCCTGGTGGGTCCCCAGGAGGCAGGAGGTCTGACCAGTGGCTACCTTTTCACTGCTTCCCTCTAGGGCCTTTGGGGGCCTTAGAGTGAGGACCAGAGGCGTCTGCGAAGGGCCCCCACAGCCTGGCCTTGTCCCCTCCGTCCAGCTTTCCCTGTCTGACTGGCCCCTGTACCCAGCCTCCTGCCTCCGCATGCCTGGGCTCTTCCCTGCTCCTCTGAGCCACCTCTGTCCTGCCCTGCCACCCCAAGGAGCCTTCCTGCGCCTTCCAGAAGCCCCCATTGGCCCAGCCTTGCCCAGCAAGGGCCCTTGCTGGGACAGCTCCACGGTGTCATTCCATATCCAGTGCCTGTCCCCCAGAGAGCCAGGGCCACAGGGCAGAGGCTGTGTGTGACGTCAGGCAGTCCCTGCGAGCTCTCTGAGCACCGTCCACCTGCCGAGCCCGTGTTATGACACCTCAAAGCTCTCAAGAACCCCAAGGGGAGGGCCTGAGGCCCTGGCCACCTGTTTTCAGTGATCACAGGAGAGTGGGAAGGTCGGGCTCAGGATGGGCCTGTCCTCTTCACAGAGGCCCTGGGGGCAGTCCTGGAGGCCGGGGTGGGCAGCCTTCCACAGTCCTCTCCCTCTTCCTGCCCTGCCCTCCGACTCCCTGCAGCCCCAGAGCTGGGGCGCTGATCCCAGGCTGCTGGGAGAGCTCCGTCAAGGAGAATGGCCCCTGCCTGGGTGGGGATGCCCCCAGCTTCTGGCTTTCCTCCATGAGAGGGCAGTGAGCACACAGAGGACCCCAGGGTCTGTGGCAGGGAGGAACGCCCCCAACTTCCGGCCCAGCCCCCACAGAGCCTCTCCTTGCCCAGAGGCCCAGGGCTGAGGTCTGGCGGAGGCTGCCTGGGGAAACCCAGCCTTCTCTTTGTCAGGGGCTTCTGAAAAAGTCCCCTCCCAGGTGTCAGAGTCGCAGGGCCTTGGGTGGAGGAAGCTGCACCTCTCGGTGGTCTCACGCCCGAACCTCCGCGGTGTAAACGGGAAGGAGGAGTGGCGCCTAACTTGGTGGACAGGGCACGTGTGCTGTGGCCTGGGGCGCACCCGCTGGGCAAGGGCAGAGCTCATCCACCTGCAGAGTCTGTGAGAAGCACCTCGTTGGTCCCTCCCAGCTAAGAAGTCGGGGTGAGTCCATTTAGGTTCAGGGGGCTTCCCAGGGGGCTCTTTCCTCTCATCTCTGTGACCTCTGGTGACCTCTGTCCACCTGAGGACACACCATCCGTGGGCAGACCCACCTGCTTTGTGCCAAGGTGCCCGTCTGCTCCAGGTCTGTGGGGATTCCTCTTCTGCTCCTTCCCGGGGCCTAGAAGGGAGTGGCTGCTGTCAGCCCCGAGGCTGGACGTGGATCTTCACTCTCCCCAGGCACCCGGACACCCCCTCTCTGCTGTCTCTGGGGCTTCCATAAACTGCGTGGCCTCTCACAGTTCTGAAGCCAGAAGGCCCAAGTGAGGCTGTGGGCAGAGTCGGTTCCGCCCCCAGGTCCAGGGGGAACCATCCCGGGCCTCTCTCCCCTCCTCTAGAGGCCGCCAGGGTCCTCGGCCTTCCTGGACTCGTAGGCGCATGGCTCCAGGCTCTGCCTTGGTGGCCCAAGGCTCTCCCTCCCCTCTGTCTCTGAGTCATATTAGGGCACTGGTCACTGGACTGGGGGCCCACTCTAGCCAAAGGCACTCTCTTCTCAGTATTCTTACCCTGGCTGCAAGAGACCTTCATTCCAAATCAGATCATGTTCACAGGTGCCAGGTAAGGACCTGGGCCTGTCTTTGGGGGGACAGAGGCACAGTCTAACCCACTATGCCTCCTGATACCTTTGAAGAAGAGGACAAGACAGCTGTCCCACGGAGGATGGGAGCAGTACAGATAAGCTAGGCAGCAAGGGCCCTGGGGACAACATGGCCCTCATGGGCTGAGTCCAAAGATTCCCCAGACAGGAGTTTCCTTGGCATTGAGGTTCCTTCTGCCACCCTTAACCCCAGAGTGACCACAGATCACAGCACACACCTGATGCCCAGAGGGTACCACCTTGGACTAGGCCTTCCTCAGTTCATGTCCTGCATAAAGCACCCTTGAAGACTTGAGCCCCGCAGGGTCTTGGGAGCAGGTGCCATGCTCTGTCAACCTTGGCCACCCTGTGGCCTGCCACTGTCCACGAATAGAGACTGACTTTCTTCGGCTTCCTACAGTGCCATTCTGAAATAAGCTCATGTTTTGCAGTATGAAAGTTTTCGTCTGAATTTTAACAGATACAGGAATAATTAGTTCAAATTATAAGAATAAAGCCAGGACCCAGTTATTCCACTCCTCAGTGTATACCCAAAGGACTTAAAGCCAGCATACTACAGTGACAAAGCCACACCAATGTTTATAAACAGTTCAATAACTAAGCTTTGGAACCAACCTAGATGCCCTTCAACAGATGAATGGATAATGAAAATGTGGTATATTATACACAGTGAAATATTACTCAGCCATTAAGAAGAATGAAATTATGGCAGTTTCCAATAAATGAGTGAAACTGGAGACTATCATGCTAAGTGAAATTAACCAATCCCCCCTCAAACAAAGGCTGAATATTCTCTGTTATATGCAGATGCTAATACACAATAAGGAGGGTTGAGGAGAGAAGAATAGAAATTCATTGGATTAGACAAAAGGGAATGAAGGAAAGGGAGGGGGGACGGGAATAGGAAAGACAGTAGAATGAAACAGACATCACTTGAACACACCACCAGTGTGCCTCCACATCATGTTCAAACCCAAGAATGGGAAGTTATACTCCATGTATGAAAATATGTCACAGTACACTCTACTTTTATAAAACAACAATAAAAAGTCATGATAGTAACAAACAAAAGTGAATAGAGCCAGGCCTCGCGAGATGCCCTTCTCCTGTGCTGACCATGGTGCACTGCTCAGAAGAGGCTCTTTGAAAGTCACCTTAGGACAGGTGTGCCAGGCCACCATGCTCCCTCCAGGTGAGCACGGCCTGAGAATCTGGGAGGAGAGAGGCTCAGGCAGCTGAGGTGAGAGCCCCCTGTGCAGGCCTGAGCAGTGCCCCCCCCCCCCGGCATCTCCCCCTCTTCACTCCTGTCTCCTCTTGTCTGTTTTCAGGACTCTTCCTCAGCTGGACCCATCCCAACGGCTGTCCCACGAACTGCTGCCGTGGCTGGAGAGCAGGGCACATCTCCCAAAGTCCAGCTGCCACTCAACGTGTGAGCTGCCCCTTGTGTTCCCCCCACCCCCGTCCTTGGTCCCCCCTGCATGCTAGCATTCACCTATGTCGTTTCTATCGGGTTTTTCAATTGTGTGCATCCGATCATACTGCCTGCAGGAGAGTCCGGGGGACAGGTGTCTAGCAGGGTATTTTAATATCATTGTCCCAAGGACGGTTATAATAAGCCGAGGGTATATTCAAAATAGGGGACCACACGGGTACTGGTCAATCAGCAAACGAGCAGACACAGCACTTCCCTCTCTTCATTTCCCTTCAGGGAGGGAAGGGGGAGGAAGTGGCAGGAGTAGCTGGTGGCCTCGGGAGCGTGGGGGCAGCAACTAGTTACCGACTACTCAGACGCGTGAGTGTTTATCCACCCTGAGTGCCGTCCCAGTGTGGGCCAGCTGCACACCAGCCCCAAATAGAACCCACTGAATCACTGCTAGGAAGTGAGACACTTGTCTTGTTTAGAAAAATCTGCTCCGTTAAATTACAGCTTTCTCTACGTGCAGTTTAAAAATTCCCCATCTAAGTAGGGTTCTGAAGAATTAGGCAGCCTTCTGCTCTTTCATTTACCGATGAGCTCAGTCTCTGGAGTGGATTTTAAGGTGGAGTGTATGAATTGGGCAAAAAAATATATATATATATATATATATATGGCAAGGACAGAAAGTTCCAGCAATCCAGGGATTGTCAGAGGGACATTCAGAGCCTGTGTGGTTGCAGAATGGAATGTATTTTTAGAAAAGTCAAAAATGTGGCTTTGGAGAAAGCGCCATGCCAGTCTTCAAAGGTTTCCTAGAGGTAGCTTAACGGTCCAGGTACTCTTTCACCTAGCTGGTTAGGCCAAGTCGACATGTCAGCCTTCGGCCAGTGGTGGCTAGGAATGTGACCAAGTACCCTTCCTAGTGGCCCCATGAGGACTGAGAGTACAGATACCTAGTACAGGGGCGAGATTGATCCTTATCTAATCGTTATCCTGCCTGCTGAGAACTGACTAAATGAGACAAATTTGAAGTTTATCCAGTTTTCCCCTAGCTTGTCCAGGGGAACAGGTAGTCAGCTACATTACAGATGTGCTTGTGTTAAAATTCAAACTTTCACCGACACGGGACAGAAGACACACTCCACCCCAGCCAAACCTGGATCAGAGTTTTTGAGCCAACGGAGGATGTGGTTCAGTGGTAGAGTGCTGGCCTAGCATTTGCAAAGCCCTCGAAGGGAAAGGAAGGGAAGAACATTCCAGAAGTTTCCCCAGTGGCAAAATTCAAATTTGTCCCGCACCAAGAACTACGCTGAACCCAGGTGCCTGAAGTGATTTATAGACATTGTGTCCATTAGTATAATTCTGCAGAAGTGACTTGAAGTCTGCCGGAGGACGTGCGTAGGTGGAATTGAAAGCACAGGACCATTCTGCATGAGGGAATTGAGCCTTTGCTGATTAGGGGGATTGTGGCGTCCTTGGGGCTCCTGGAACCCAGTCACCTTAGGCGCTGGGGGTGTCAGGAGTGTCTTCGGATCATGCCCCAGATCCACTCATGCAGTTTCACCCCAGCCAGGGGCTCGGGAGGCCCTGGGGGAAGTTGGGATCACAGGTCGGCTCCTCCTGAAGAACCGGGTGCAGGACGTCACCCCGAGGAAGACCCACGGCCACAGGACATGGCTCTGGTGCCAGGGTAATGAGACTGTTGAGTCCCCACAACCAGCTGAATGCCTCTTGTTCCCTGAGAGCCAAAGGCCCCCTTCCTGGGTCCAGAGGACCTCCACTCCCACCTGTCACGTCAGTCACCCGAGAAAGCTGCTTGGTCTCTGAGACCCAAGTTGTGCACGTGCTGGACGCCCTCGGGAGGCACCCACCGTGGACACTCTGTGTTCTGATGCCTCTTCACTTTGGCGCCGAGCATAGAGGGTCTCCTTCCTCCCTGGCCCACCCTGCCATGGGGACGTGCCCCCCGACTTCTGTTCTCACCCCAGGAGTGTGGCTGTCTCTAGTTTGAGGCGTCTATCTGGGTAGCAGGAAGGGAGACTCACGTTAGCTCTTGTTTCTCTCGGGATAATGAGGATTTGGGTAGGTGGGTGACATGGTGGTCATCTAAACAGCCAACGAACCATAGTGGGCATGGCCTGTGGCTGGCCGTGGCAAGCTCCGTGTGTGCGTTCCTTGGTTGTCTGTATGAGTAGCAGGCACAGGCTTGGAAATATCCTACACGCTGCAGCAACATGCATGGTCCATTGTGGAAACATGAGCACTGAAAGCACAGTTTTGTGTTTTTCCTGGGGAACAGTCGATCAGATGGACCTTGTCAGTTTATCGAGTCAGACTAGCCTGATCACTTGCCTGACCACCTTCTTCAGTTCCAAGAACCTAGTGGTCCCATGAGTACTGAGAGCAGATACCTAGTACAGGGGCGAGATTGATTCTGGTCTAGTCACTCTTCCCAAAACAGAATCTGTAAATCATATTCAAAAGAAGGGACTGCCACCCGAGCTGAGCTCATGCTGAGCTCACGTTCAACAGTGCGCGGGGGAGCCTGCAAGGCCCATCTGATGGCTCTAGGACTCCGGGTGAGGGCCCAGGTGGGGAGACCACAGTGATGCAACAACTCCAGGGGACCCTCGTGCATAGCCCTCATTACTGCATGACTTTGACTTCACAGCCAAGTCCCTGAAACCCAACCCCTGACTGGTTTCCTAGGCCTTTTTTGGTTGGTGACAGGATATTGCCCTTAGCCCCTTCTTCTTGCACATAAAAGGTTTCCATGTCACTGGTTTCCTGAGGGTTCCATTGCCTTGGCAAACAGAAAGGGGAACTGACTATGTCCACCCAGGACATGGAGAACCACTCCTCTGTGGAGAATGGACCCGCTCCCATGCCCTCCCTTTCCGCTGTGTTGTGCTGGTGGTTCTCTCTGGCTCTGGGGCTTCTGCGCTAGATACCTGCTGTGATTCCTGGAGGCCAGGTGTGTGAGCATCTGAAGGTCAGAGATGACCTCTCCCCGGAGGGTCTGAGGTTGGTAAGGACATTTGTGAGTGGGGCACCTCGGATGCTGGGTTCGATTCCCTCCGCTTCTCCATGAAGGACCCAGGAGTGAGGGAGAGAGCAGAGGCACGCCCCATGGCTGAGTAGCTCTGACAGCAGATGGGGAAGAGAGTGGCAGAGCTGCCGCGATGCCCGTCCTGCACCCCCAGCAGTGTGAGGAGTCTCGCGGGATGGCCGCTGGTCATCAGGTGCTGCAGCAGGAGGAACCGCATTGTCCTCAGATGGCCTGCCTTCAGGAGGCTCCCAGCCTTCCTCAGCGCTGGCTTGTGTGCCTGGGCACCACAGGCCACCCCAGCTCCTGGACATCAGAGCCAGGCTCTGGGACTGGACGTGGCTGGCCATGGGAGAAGGGACTTCCAGTCACCTGTCAGGAAACCCAGCACTGCCTACGGCAGCTGGCCCCCAGACGCCACTAGGCCTCATGAACTGGGGCAGCAGAGGGAGGGCTGGGCCTGCAGACCAGGAAAGGGGAGACCAGGAGAAGCGCAGCCGGCAATGCGGGTGGAGACTTGTCCTTGGCTCTGTGGTCAGTGCTGGTCAGAGGAGACAGGCTGTGTGTGGTGAGCGGGGCCACCTGGCCACCGTCTGTCCTGATGGTCAAAGGCCTCCAAATCGCCCTTAAGAAGAGTGTGGCCCACGTTCTGGGATGTCGGGCGAGGACTGGTGGCCGAGGCAGGCCCAGATCAAGAGGGGTCCTCCGTCACAGACTCGGAGATCAGGCCAGCTGTGCCCCCGTGGAGCGGATCCGGGTGAGGTCAGTGCAGTGGGACTCAGGGAAGTGAGTCGGCTCAGGCTGGGGCCGAGGCGGGCAGCAGCAAGGCCGGGTCACTGCGCCGGAAGTGCCCGGAGGCCAGCCGTCCGCACAGCAGCCCCAGCCTCCAGGTCAGCCCTTAGGAGCGCCAGCGGCTCCTGCCCTGGGGTATGAAGAAGATGCAGTCGAGCGTGAACAGGGGGCGAGAACTGGTGCCTCCCATTCTCCAGGGCCCACGCAGGTGGGGAAGGGAGAAAGGAGATGCGGGAGGAAGGGGCAGAGATGACCTGGAGCGAATCCTCTAGGAGGAGCAGGGAAGCTCTTTCACTTCGTTAGGAGAAACGCGAGCAAGCACCATCTAGAGGAGGAGGGTGTGAGACACTCTAAGGCACCAAGATGCAGTGGGGAATCTGCAGGCAGCTACAGCCAGGGAAGGTCTTGCTGTAGGTAGAAGTAACCTGGGTGACAAAGGACGTGGACACAGACGTCGCACCGTGCCACACCAAATCACCACGGCTGCCAGCCTGTCCAGCCTGTGGACTGCCCCTAGGCTCCAGGCACAGGGGCCTGGGATGACACCTGACTGTGGGCTCAGCTGGGCACCCGCAGGGCCTGCTCCTGCCCACGGGAGAGGTGTATTTTCCTCAGCCAACTGCTCGCAAGAGGAGTCCTTTTTGAAATGACACAAAACCCCACCCAGGTAGAGAGCTGTGGTGAAGAAGGCTCTATGAGCCAAAAGATCACACATTTGCCTTTAAAAAAGGTATTTTTAGTACTCTCACGTCTGCGTGAGGGGTGATCTGAGCAGGGCAGGCAGACCGGCTGGCCTGGGTGTGTTAGGGAGACCACGTGAGCTCTCTGGGGAGGCCTGGCCTGAGCTCCCAAGGTCTTTTGAAGTGAGTGGAGAGTGGGACAGGAAAGCGAGAACCATGCCACCCACCGGTGCACCTTCCTCTTCCCCATGCCGTGCTAGGCCTGGGCACGTGTGTCCATGGGGACCCACTCAGCACACGGAGCTCCGTGCATCTTGCCCGGCTCAGCCAAGGAGCATCCACACACGCAGGGCAGGGCAGCTGAGGGACAGATAAGGACTGATGCCTCTGGGGCTGTCACTTAGAACCGGGAAACAGCCAGTGCAGGAGACAGGCTGCTGAGATCCCCAGGGACTGATGGCAGCAGGTGGAGAGAGGCCCCGGGGCCCGTGCTC